GGATTCATCTTTCCCACAACACTCACATGTTAATGGGTCAGCAAAAGTAGAGCGCTGAGTGGTGCTGACTGTACCTCCCAATTAATTCAATATGCTTTTCATCTTTAAATTTGAGGATAAATTAAARCAAACCTTTGTTTTGTTGCCATCTAGTCTCACTGCCATCTGCAAAATAAATCCACTAACCCCCATGCCCCCAAAAACAYAAAACAATCTGGAAAAGAGCAAAACAAGTTAAACCAAACCAAATGAGTGCTCTCCTCTCCCAAAAGCTCCATTTCCACTTCCTTTTTTTTCCCAGTTCCAATTCACAGTGGTTCACGTGCCAGATACGTTCTAGAGCTGGCAATTAATTTTTTACCATTCTTTCTACTGAAAAAAAAATTCCTACATAATGCATGCATACTTAGTTGTCAAAACATGATCGAGAAAGTAAACTGCTATTCAGGGAGATAAGTTAATTTGCCCATTCTGTGGTTCAGTCTCTCAGTTATTTTCAATGTCTCATTTGAAAGTGAATGTAACAGTATTTCCCTTTTTCTCTAACGTTCATAAACGAAAACAACACAAGGCTATTGTATGCAGTCATAATAGGAGCACTATACAAACCAGCCAAGTCTCCTAAATAAAAGTTAATTATTAAAGAATACAGAGGTCTTTTACATGCATTTTCAATTTATCCATAGCTCTTCTACTGTATCTTCCAACTGTTCATTTTTTGGACAACCTGCAACYTTACCAGCTACCTATTCCCATGCCACATCCTGTACCTGCTGCCTCTTTTAAGTAGCTGGCTCCATATCTCCTTGCTCTTCTCATCTCAGCTGCTGGCCCCTGATGCAATCCCAGAGGTGGAGGTGCATCTCAACACCCAGTGCTCAGACGCTGTGACACATCAGAGACTCAAAGCTGACTGGAATGACACCTGCTAGGGCACTGTCTGCCTCTCCTCACTCTGCAGAGGGAGGAGCTGCCTTGGAGATAAAAGGCAGTAGCTCCACCTCTGTATCTCATAGCTGCATGCCCTRATGCTGCTGAGCCTTGCTACAGGGCTTTCTGCCAGTTCCTCTGCTACCTGCCAGGCTCTAAAGCGCTGTCCTGAGGAGATGGAAGGTAGTCAGTCTCCCTTCACCAGGCCCATTTTGTTCACTGATAAAAGACAGAAAAGCGAATCACCTACAGGTTTGTTTAGCCTTTGGGAACTGGACCTCTCTGTGCAAATATGAGCTGTCAATTATTTTTTCATTTCTGTCCCCAGCAGCTGCAGAACAAAGCTTGAGAAGATGAGCTGGGTGCACCCTGAAGTCTTCAAACCATAAATCAAATAACATCTTGAATGTTTTTCTGTTGTGATTTTCAGGCTGATTTCATTATGTATGGAAAGTTGATCTGTGGTGTTAGTAACTGGGCAAGCATTCACTGTGTTCKTATGGAAACTGAATTGTTAGGGAACTATCTGAACAAGATACTGCACTGAACCTGCTATATTACTCCCTATCTTCTCCTGGGCAGCTAATTGTAGCTGAAATACTTGTGACAAGGAACCTCTTTCCATGAGCATCTGTAAAATCATCAGTTTCATTAACCAGGCTTATTAAAAGAGCATTTCAGGAGTTGAGTGGGACTTGCCTTAATACTGCAAATACTATTATGGAACAATGCATGCATATTGATATACAGACCCTAAATCCATCTCTCTTCCATACTAATGCTTACAGATGAATGAAGTTTTCTTTGAATTGATATTAGGAATGAAACTGGATTGGATGGGCAAAGAAACCTGAAAGCGAGGGTTACCCAAGTTTAATTTTAAATTATTAAATAAGTGAGTCATAATTTTCTGAACTATTTTCAGCGTTTGTTGCAGTGAACGGCCATATGAATTACACCAAAGCTGACTTGCTGCTTCTCTATTTCAAGGAAGAAGGAGGCATGTAAGGCTGATTTGCGGCGGCTGTTCAAAGGTACTGCTGAGAGGAGCCACGAGAGGGCACTGGAAGGAGAGAACAGGCCAAAAAATGCAGTCCTGGGAACCAGCAAGCCAGGACAGTGCAAGAAGAGCTCTGCTCCGTGCCCCTAGCAAGAATAAATTAAGGTCCAACAGGACAYACAGTTCATTTCTATATAAAATCGAAAGCTGTACTGAGAGGTCTCCCAGGCCAGACTTACAGGTATGAARCGATACCCAGAGAGTGCGCTGGCGCATCAGGAGCAACAGGCGGACGAAGCACCAGGTGGAGCTGAGAACTACACACAACTGACAACCCAACTCACATGTTTCTGCTGCACACAAAAGCTACAAAGAGAAAGGGAGATAAGAAAGGTTGCATGAAGCAACCTTTYCCCAGAAAATATCCCCGTTATGCATTCAGTTTCACACAGGCATGGGCTGTCTGGATGAAGAGAGATCCAGTGGTTCTGCCCAGTGTAGATAAGCAATAAGAAATGAAAAAAAAATTGTTGGGAAACAATTGCAAGCTCAACACATTTGAGGAAGTCACAATAAACCACAGAAAATGTCAGATTCCATCTTCTGATATTTTTTCTTATGTTATCTTTCAAAATTAACTGGTGTTAATATTTTTCAATATAACAAAAGTAGCTTATTCCTGCTTTTTGGATTCCAGAGTTATATCTGAAATGGATTTCAACTTTTCATTGATCTTTTAAGATAATGTCAGACAACTATGTACTTGCTTGGGTGACATCAAGCAGTATGGAGAAGATCAGGGCAATCATTAGAACCTGACTTTGATCTGCCAGCAAATGCTCCATTCCGTCTGTCAATCCAGTCTAGATTGGTCTACACAGGAACATGCTATATTGTAAATACAGAAGATCACTGAAAAAACTTGACCAGTTTGTTATTGACCACTGGTTGTTATTGAGTTGATCCCTGGTCCTGCCTAGCTCCATCTAGCTTTTTCCAAAACCATGCTCAAGAGCAATTCAAAGGGCAACTCACTTCAGTCACTTTGTGCAGAAAGAATAGTATTAATGAAATTGCTCCTTCCAATCCACATAATCTCCTATATGCCTCAATTGATTGACACCATAAATAAAAAAGCTTCAAAATCACACTTTGAAAATTTCCCAGGAGTGGGCTGCCACAGTTCTCAAGCAYTATTTTTAAACTTTTAAACTGAAAAAAAAAGGTCTATGAAGTTAATTATCAAAATAATAGTAATAAGAATGACAAGAAGGCAGGCATGTGGGACAAAGAAGAACAAATGCAATTTTGTTAGAGCCTCTGCAGCTCACTGTGGTCATATAGGAACTGCAAGATTTGGTCCTCCAGGGTGATCACTGTCATTACTTTGATTATAGTAGCACAAGGCAACACCACACAGACTGGAATATGTCTGCTCCTGATGGGAGTCTTCTGGCCTGAAGTGCTTACAGTCTAAATAAGACCAGGTAGACAAGTGGAGTGAGAAAGAAAGTACTTTTGTTAGGTCCAAGAGAGATTAAGAAACTTGCCCAAGGACACATACCTTTGACAGATCCTGGACTCAGCCTAGATTTTCAGTATGGCGCCTTGGTCATAAACCCTTCACCTACCTTCTGCTCAAATTGTGAATGCCTCTTCAGCTGAGATTTAAACAGACTACATCTCAGTAGAGCATCACCAGAAACAWCTTGCTATACCATGTTTATTTTGACAGCTTTCACATACATAACMTATTCTATTGACAAAGTCCTAAGTGCACAGATGAGGAAACAAATACAAATTTGGGGGCAGATGAAAGCCTCAAGCTCAATAGCAGGCTACTGCTTCACAAGGCTCTATAAGCATTGGAAGTTTCAGTGCATTTGCTTCAGCTTTAGTCTCACTCAGAGTTTTAAACTTACGGCTACATAATGCCCCATATCCAGCAAAATATTCCTCCTTTTTGGGGAGTCATAATAAAACACATGGGACAGAAATTAATCAGAAAAAGAAAATTAATACCAAATAATGGAAGAAAGAAATTGCAAAAACTAACTCAGTCCAGGTTCACATGCCATAAAAACTAAGACAAGTTTCAGATGTAAGTCAGTGTTGACACATAATATTTAGCCATGCCCATCATAAAATCCACTTTACTGAAATAAAAATACACAGTATAAAAATCCACTTGACACAAGTGTTACTCATTAACATTCCTTCTACATCTCACACGAAAGCATTACTTGTGAAAAATGCCTACTTGCATATCTAAGAGGACACTGCCTCTCACTTCACAATGTGCCAAAAGTCACACCTGTGGGAAGAAACGATAACCCTTAATAATAAGCAGCTCATTTTCCAGCATAACTTCAATTCCTCGACCTTTGCTTTCACTACTAACACAAATAGCTTTGATGATTGCACAAAGGAGAAATACGAGCTAGAAGCAAGGTCAAGGTCATCACAAGGCAGAGAGAATTCGACGAAGTCACTTTCAAGAGTCTTGTGAACTACCTTTCAGGCAGGCGAGTGCCTGGTTTCACTGCAAAAGCTGCCAGGATCGACTCAAAAATCGCAGACCTGTCACATTTCCCTGCAAGGTCCGGAACAACTTCCCCGCCGCCGTGGTCTCCCGGGTACCGGTGTTTAGCCTACACCCCATGCCAGCGGCACGGTGAAGCACAGAAGCGGTCTCCTCCTCCTCCCCGGGGAAGGAGAGGTGCCACGGGGAGCCGCAGCAGTGACTCAGAGCCGTCTCTGTCACAACACGTGTTTCCCAAACGTCCCAATGCTTCAGGTGCCCGGCCGGCTGGCTTCAGCTCCTGGCAGGACAGCCGGGAGCTCAGTACTCCATGCCGCGCAGCGCCTTGGCCGGCGCAGACCTTTTCCTGCTGGGCACCAGCCCGCCGCCCCCTCACCCGCTCTTCCMGTCGGGATGAAGCGGCCGCGGCTCCTTCGCCTCCCTGCACTACCGGGCTGCGGCAGYGTGCCCCCCGCAAATCGCGTTCCGCGCCCTCCGCCTCCCCGCGGGCGCGATGGGCACCGACAGGACRAGGGTGAAAGCCAGTACCTGACTCTGTCCTTCTCTGCCCGCCGGAGCTCCGCGTCCCGTTGTAGCACCTGGAAAATCGCCCTGGCTTCCTCCTCGTTCAGAAAACTGAGATCTGGCCTCTGGGGCGCTGCGGTCATGGCTTTGCTTATCGGCGGGCGGGCGGCCGGAGGCGGGCGGGCAGCGCTGACCCCCGCGGTGCGTGCAGCCACACCAGCATGGCCGGGCGCCGAGCGGACCGCGCACACCGGCACCGCGGGACAAGCGTCCCCCTCGACGGCTCCAGCAGGAGCTRCGCCCGTACAGCACCGCCCTGGCGCGGGCTGGGCAACTCCCTCCGGAGCGACCGCAGCGCAGCCCGGCGGGGCGGGGCAGGGCWGGGCAGGGCAGGGCGGAGAGGGGCGGTGGCACTGCCGTCGGGGCTGGACCAGGAGCCGGAAGCGGAGTGAGCCCTGGCGTTGGAGTCCACGCTCGCTCGGTGCTTGTGTCCCGCCGCGRGCGGCCCGCGGTTGAGTGGGGAGATGCGCTGAGCCCTCGGCGCGGTGTTTGTTTTAGCGCTGCTCAGGGACCACACGCCCGCCCGGGGGGACCGCTGCGGTTCCCCCACGGCGGCGACGGCGCGGTTCCCAGCTGGCAGCCCCGTCACGCCTCTGCCCGGCTCCCCGCCGCACCCGAGTGCCGCCCCGCCACTCCGTCCGGACACCGCTCGACCCGCGGCAGCCCCTCCGCTGAGCCCGCCGCGTCCTTCTGCTGCAGGAGGACATGGCCGTAGTCTTGCAGAGTGGATGCAAACCGGCCGCTTTTCCACGAGGGAAGAACGGGACAGTGTTTTCTGTGTTTCCTATTTACCCTTTAAGGTTTTCCTGAAGAAATAGTAGAGTAGAACATAAGTTCCTRACCTGGGGCTTAAAATCACATCTCGGAAGTAATTTCATCCCGATTCCATTTTAACGGCTCTAATGCGGCTTTGTGCTGGTGGAACCATCACAAATTGCTGTGTCTCTGGATCCAGAGTATGTCTGTCAAGTACACTGTATTAGTTGAATACTTTATAGAAGGTCCTTTGAAATTTTTCCATCGTATGAGAGCTTTATTCAGGGCTGAACTGCAGATGGAGAATGAGACTTATTTCAGAAGGAGGAAGTCGGGGCTGTTCATCCTAGAAAAGAGAAGGTTTGTTGCAGAGACTTTGTAGCAACCTTCCAATGTCTGAAGGAGGCCTATAGGGAAGCCAGAGAGGGACTCTGTTGAACTAGAGTGATAGGACAAGGAATAATGTGTACAAATTGAAAGATGTGGGAATTTAGGTTAGATATCAGGAATATTTTTTTTATACTGTGAGAGTAGTGAGTTACTGGAACAGGTTGCTCAGAGAGATTGTGGGTGCCCCAATCCTGGCAGTGTTCAAGGCCAGGTTGGACAAGGCCTTAAGCAATCTGGTCTAATGGAAGGTGTACCTCCCTGTGGCTGGGGTGGTTGAGACTGGATGATTTCTAAGGTTCCTTCCAAACCTTTAATATTTGCTGATTCTGTGAAAGAAAACACTATTTTTATTATGTCAAAGCAAGTCAGTGGAAAAAGGCAGGGCAGTGTGCAGCAAGAACTGGGCTGTGATGCACACAGTCACCTTCCCACCCTGCAGCAGGCTGATGTGGGGCTGCGGAAGAATGTTTCCCCACTAGGAAGTAGAGTGGTGCATGTGGAAATAAAAGCCTTAGAGCACAGTGAGAATAATGGGTTGCAGGAGGCTTCTTGTTTTGGAGGAGCTTCTGTCATTACTTATCAGATCCAAAGAGGAACTTACCCGATTCCTGGTGACCAAATAAAAGCAAGGTATGAGACAATTGATGAAAATGAAAAAAAGCAAATTATGAAGAATTATGATGTGGAGAGGGTGTGYCTCCAACAGAGAAAAGACTATTTTTAATAGTGTATGGGAAACGCTTCTGGGTAAGGTCCAAGCATGTTGTTTCTAAAGGTACAAGAGCCACAGCTGTCTCCAGTGAAGTAGGAGAACTCTGTAACAGTAAACATCCTGTCCTTCCCATTCTGTTGCACTGACCATAACATAGAGTTTTGCCAGCAGAAGCTAAGTGGATGGAGTTCTCCCCAGGACTCTCCCAGGCAGTGAATTAGACCTCACTCTCACTTTCTGACCTGCAGGGTATGGGAAACTGTTGCTCACTGTGCTTCTGCATCRTGCTACATCTGCTCTCAGAGCTGGGGCAGAACATGGTAACATGTTTTTTCTGTACATCCGTTGGAATGAAGCTCATCAATGCCCACACTTGTCTTAAAAACAATGTTTCATCTTATTGGTGAGTTGTGTTTTTTTAACTTCTCATGCCAACTTATAAGATGTCCCTGCTCATTGCAGGAGATTAGACTAGGTGGCCTTTGAAAGTCCCTTCCAAACCAAACCATTCTATGATGAAAAATAAATACATTCATACACAATATRTGGGAAGGTTGTGCGTTTTCTTACAGGTTTGCAAAGGAAGTTAGGTATTACAGTTCTTACAAATAAAGGGTGACATTCCTCCACAAATTTGGTGGCTATCTATAACTGTATCTATCCTGCATGTAAGTCAAGAMTGGAATTGTTTTTCTAAGTTTCTGTCATTTTTTTTCTTCATTTCTAGAAATTTGATTAATTGGTGCTTCTTTCTACCCATCATTAAAATATTTGTTGGCATATTTTTAGTGCAAAGGGAAGCAGGGACAAGATGTTCATTTAATGTATAAGCAATGTATAGTCTTCCAGATAATAAGGAAGAAATGTTTTTCATTCTGTACAAACCAATGGAATTGTTTAGAAGAGTGAAGAGCATGTACACTGATGGCTTGAGATGGATTCTGCAAGCCTTCATGATGATTATTATTTTAATGGGTTTTATCCAGACTATTTAGATATTTGGCCATTTGTATAATAAAAAAGACCTTTAATTTACACAGCATGGTATGTCACATAGGCATTAGAAAATGTGTGTTGGACAATGACTAGAAAGAAATCTGTGGAGTTTTTTATCAGAAATTTATTTTGTGAAAAATAACCACTTTTCCAAATGTCTCTTCATTACTCCACTTTTCTTAAAATTTATGTCTCTTCCATATATGGGTCATGATGGCAAGAAAGCATTGCCTGAATTCCAGTGTTTAAAGTCTCTAGCGCCTTATGTGCTTTAATTTCTGCTCCATAAACCTAAGATAAGATACTATGCATGYGTTTTAGCTAACAGCTGTTCCAGGAAGATACTGAAGATATGTTTCTTGTAAATAAGTAGTATTTTCCAGTYTAAAAACCTGAAACAGAGAGCCAAAATAGCCTATGAGAGGCTGCAGACAAGAGATATCATTAGTAAGTTAATTACCAATGCCACTAAAGAGGATGCTGACATACATACCTTAATTATAGGGCAAATTCTTCAAAAATTGCATTTCACAAATACTGCTGTACTAATGGGTGGTGCTAACTCCACTTACTCTCAGTGGAGGAATTCAAAGTGTAGGGTTCTGGAAAACCAGAAGGGTTGATTCAAAAAGTTGGTCTGTACCTAGGGAATTGAGAGGAACGTGCAGAATGGTTGATTAAATCTTGTAGCAATTGGCCTTGAGACTGGTATCAGCCTTAAGGCTTGAAAGAACTGTAAAGGCTTGTCTGTTCCTGTTGAGCTAATTACTGTGCAAATTGTCAGCCAGATTAGTGACGGCTGGTTTAATTAACTCCCTGCATTAAGTGAGAATGGTTTCATGACCAGGCAAAGAATAAATAGGAAGCATCTTTCATTTAAAATGCACTAAATCTGTTTATTGTGTTTGAAATAAATATTTCTAACACTAAGCTAGGTCAAAAATAGTTGGATCATAATACTTGTAAGGACAAAAGCAGTGTCTCTCCTCTGTTTAACAAGCTATCATTGATATCTCYGTTTGCTCTAATAGTATTTATTTATGTGTGATAGCATCTGGAGATCCATCTAATTTTCAGGGGACATGAAGGCTTACAGTGTATGGTTCCCACTGCCACAGGTCAACACTTCCATTGATCAATGAGTGTTCTCCAGCATCTTYCACTAGGCCCTTTACTCCCTCTTCAAGAGAGCTTTGGACTTTCATTCAGGCATTTCAGCTGTGAAGTGCTGCACTTTGAAGATTGCCTGGACATCAAAATCCAATTGCCGTTCGTGTTTTTGTAGCTGTTGGTGTGCTATGCAGCCTCTTGTGAGGCAAGGAGGCAGCCAAGACCAGGCTGAGCTGGCTGTGGAGCATGGGCCATCACTGACCACCCTGTAAATGCCACAGGTGGCRCAGCTGTTCCCACAGGGACAGCCAGTCTTCCAGGTACACTGTGTTCCCAAGTCACATCTTGCAGCCTGTGTGGCTGCAAATGCTCCTTTTCACAATCTCCTCAAGCACTTCTTGCTGAGTTTGTCATTCACCTGCTTCTTTTTCCTCCCCATCCCTTGAGTGTGGGCTGTTCGTTTCCTCCACTTTAGAYGCTGCTCTGCCCACACAGCACAATTCCTCACCTTACAAGTACTGTTGCTTGCTGCTGTCTCTTGCTCCAAGACTTTCCTACCCCATGCATTGTCAATATGAACTCCTGAATTCTTTCCCTGTGCAGGGTTGTTTCTGCTGAAATAGACTTGTTGGTCCCTTAGAATGACATAATGGTATCATAGCAAAATATTATCTGGTTTTTGCCTAGCAGAAGGTAAAAGTGATGTCCCAAAAGCATATTAGCATTGCATAGCAGCAAGGAAAGGTGGTCATGAGAGAGACSTCTGAAATGGTGGCTGCAGTCTGACCCTGGCACTTCATGACATTACTTTCTGTGTATTTGGTGCTGCTTTGGAAAATGACTCCATGATACCCCTGTGTTTCCCTTTTTCTTTATGAYTGGCTGTCTGTCCTTCTTCCCCCCTTATTTTTACGATTCAGTTAATCACTAATTTCATTTGTAATACTCATTGGGACTGCAATTTCTGTGGACTGGAGAGAAGAGATTATTGTGAGTAGGATTCCTCACAGGGCAAGACAGATCGGGATTCCGGGGGCTTGCTGCAGAGGGCTGCAGCCTGGAGAGGCATATGAAACAGAGAGTTACCTTTGTACCTCAGGAGTGTAAAACTACTGCTTGGAATGGGAGGGTGAACATGTTTGGTTGAAATTATACAGGATTTCTGCTTTATTATAGGTCTGATGTCTTGACTGTCAAAGCCGTAAGTTGGCTAGTATTACATGTAACATCTGCTCTCTTGGCAGAAACTCAGTAACCTTCCCTTCCTCCT